GGCAAAGTGCGTACAATAATCGCTGCGATTGTCCATAGAACAAATTGATGTCTGGGGATACAAAAGATCAAGATTTCATTTCCGGAACTGAGATCGAGAATACACAAGAAAATTCAATTATATGATAATCAGCTACATTCCACTAAAATACTTGCGAAAGGTGAATAATTATAGAGTTTCTGGAATGGACCCATCTTAAATTTCAATTAGTTAGCTTCCTCCCCTGCCTCGTACACCTTCCCATATATGGGCAGGTGCTCAGCATAGCCCCATATCAGCAGAAGCAAGTACTTATGCACAGGCTCGAGTGTTTGCTGCAATAAAAGTTGTTTACTTTCAAAGAACTGATAATAATAATGCTCATAGATTCACACATATCGTATTGATAAGACGCTCAGAGTCTCTCAGACTCAGGTACTCTGTCTGGGGGAAACTGAAGTAGACTTTATCAGAGAATTTTCGAAATATTTACATTCAAAGAGCTGCTCAAGGATTAACTGATCGTCGTATATATACATACATATATTTTTATCTGAGGCCGCGAAAGTCTTCCGCGACACGTGCCCAAACAGAAAGCTCAAGAAGCTGAAAAATTTCCAAGCGATCATATATAGATATAGATATATAAATTGTCAGACAAGTGTTGGAAATCTAAAAGCTAATACAAACACAATATGAAAGTCGAAATAGTTGGACGGCTGGCACATGTCTTTTTTTTTTTTTTTTTATTGGTATTGCGATCTATTTGAAAATAAACCGGAGAGGACTTGAGAAAATATTTGCGAATTGTTGTTTTCTTTCGTTCAATAACAGAAATTCCGTATTTGAAATATGCAGCCAAACTGTTGACATAAATGACACACCCCTCCCCCCACCCCCCCCCCCCCCCCCTCCCCCATTACTGCCAAATATTTGTCTTTCAGTGGAACGCCGAGCGGAACAATGGGAAAGAAGTTCGGGTTAAATAATATTGCAAACATTGTCAGGTCTCCTTCAGCTGTTTCTGTTTCTGTTTCTGTTTCTGACTCCGCTTTTCATCCGAACTGATGTTTCATATGGGGAAATACCACACAGATGTTTTATTTTCGACACTTCCAACTTTATACAGGTGCCAGCCCCGGCCACGCTCAGGTGCGTGGGGAAACTATGGAAAAATAGGGCCAAAAGAATTAGTCAAATGGCGAATCATTTTATTTATATATAATTTTTTTTTTTGGAACGCGTGTGTCGCATATCCGAAACGTGTTCCAATAGACGCCACTAAATGTACGAACGGAACATATATAGAATTTTCGAAAAATATTCATAAAAACAACTATAAATTACAAAATCAAGGAAATTATCAGCGTCAGACGCGTCAGCAAAATTGAAAATGCCTCCCCCCCGCGCTATACCCCTCTTCCCGAGCAGGCCAAACGTGGCGCTAGCTGAACAACAACAACATTAAAATCAAAGTTCAGAAAACAAATATTTTCATAATAAAAACATGCGAAATTGTGACGCGGCATAAAATGATTTAATTTCACATTTTTCTGACGTGAGAATTTTCATTTCGATTAACTATTTAAACTGAATCTAGATTAGAAATTAAGCGGAACTGCAGAGAGTCCGAAAAAGAAAGGCCAGAAGTCGAGAACCTTATCTGGCTAGGAACAGATAGGTGTGGAAGTATAGCCATGGTATATCAAAATAATAAAATGATATGAGCCCAATATTTGTCATGCGTATTAATAGTAAGACATATGTTTGAACGAACAAGTTCAATATTTAAAGTCTCTAGCTCTTATAGACTCTGAGATCGGGCGATCTATATATATGTATGTAGCTCGTACTGCGCGGACACTAGGAGGACCTATATTCAAAATCTAAGGTCCCTAGCTCGTATAGTCTCCGAGATCGAAGAGTTCCCACAATTTTGTAGTTTATTCAGACCCTAACGGTTACTCCTTTCCACTGGAAAACGTTCTTATGAATGGCTAGAGAATTCGTGGGGAGATGTCTAGTCAGCAGGATCAAGTGTAGATCGTTTAAGGACCTTCTCCAACTGCGACAGAGAAGACCCTCGAGAGTCCCCCGACAGCTTACGAAACATTCCAATCTTATTTAAATAAGTCTTATTCAAAACATTATGATCTTTTATCATGAAATCGTATGTTTTTATTGATCCAATACAAACATTTTAGTTGTTGCTAATAAAAGGAATTGTAAGCTGCGTAAAAACACGAAATAATAGATATTTTATCTTCTTATAACTTAATCAAATGCCTCGTCTTGAGTTATAGAATTCCTTACGGGAGCTGCAGAAAGTTGAACTCTTTCTTCTGTATCATAACCTAATGCCCTTTCTTGACTCTCCCTGTCTTCCTACAGGAGCTGCGTACTAGTTTGAGTGGACTCAAGTCCATGCCTAAAAAACAAAATAATATAATAGGTTATGTATTTTAACCTAAAGAAATGCCTCGCCTTGAGTTATGGAATACCCTACAGGAGCTGCGTACTAGTTTGAGAGGAGAAAAGTTGAACTCATGCCTAAAAAATGAAATAATATTATAGGTTATGTACCTACTTCTAACCTAAAATAAAATCTCTTTCTTGAGTCGCCCTGTCTTCCTACGGGAGCTGCGTACTAGTTTGAGAGGAGAAAAGTTGAACTCATGCCTAAAAAATGAAATAATATTATAGGTTATGTACCTACTTCTAACCTAAAATAAAAGGCCTTTCCTGAGTCGACCTGTCTTCCTACGGGAGCTGCGTACTAGTTTGAGTGGAGAAAAGTTGAACTCTTTCTTCTGTATTTAGGAGTAGGCTGTGCTTCTTTCTTGGCAAGTGTCGCAGTTGTGCGCTGTTGCCGCTTTTCAGCCAAGTTCACAGCTCCGCTCCGGCGTACGCCGCCCGCCGCCCGCGCCCCGTTAGCCTTGGCGAGCGTACTGAAAACCGGGCTAGCAAAACCCAAACTGGTTAACTGCAATTGTCTGCCACAGATCGTAGGCTGCGATTCAAGCTGAAGCTGTTGCTGTTGCCGTTGCTTTTGCTGCAGTTGCTGCGGCGTTGCCGCACTTCACTTGGCTGCAAAAGAAAGCTGCACCCGCTACAAGCGCAGCCTCCGCCCCTGCCGCGCCCCGCTGCCCCTGACAAAATAGAAAGCCGTTTTGTTTTAATTTTTTTCCACAATTATTTTCCGCTAGCGCAGGAAAAATTATATGCTTTTATTTTTGTAATTTTTTTTTTTTGCCTTTGTTTTTGCTTCTTTTGTATGTGTTGTATTTGTTTTGTATTTTTTTTCACAAAAAGGTTTTTGTTTTTTTTTTGTTTGTTTTGCTTACATTTTGGTTACAAATTTCTCACAATTATTTGTTTTTGTTTTTAAATTACGCAATAAAAAAACTTAACATTAAATACAATATGTTGTTGGTTTTTGTTGTAATAATAAAAAATTAATACATGAATTACTTGTTGTTTATAGTTTTTTTGTGTGTGTTTTTTTGTTTTCTTTTTATAATAAATAGTTTTCGATTTTAAAGATAAAGATACTTTAAGCTGGTATAGATACTTTTGTGTGTGTGTGAGTGTGTGTGTGTGTGTGAGAACATTAAGTTTTCTTTGTTACGTTAATTTTAGTTTTTAAAAATTATATCGCATTAATTTTGTTTTAGTTGTTGTTATCAGTTTTTGCTGCTACATTAAGGTTTTCAATTTTTTGTTTTTTATCGCAATTGGAGTTTTACACAGACAAAAAAAAATTTTACAAATTTTTTACGCTTTCACATTTACTGAGATATTCTTTTGCCTTAACATTAAAGCAATTATTAATTTTATGTGGTACATTTTTTTGTTTGTTTTTGTTTTGTTTTTGTTTTTTGTAATTTTAATGATGTTTTTGTTGTACGCGCTATACATTTAATAATATATAAAAATTTGTTAAAATCCTAAAATTTGTTGGTTTTAATTAAGATTAATAAATAATTTAAAAAATTTTTAATGCAGCAAGCTGCGTCTAACTAAAATTGGATCGTTCGTCTCCGTCTCCGTCTCCTCGTATCTTTCGTCTCTTTCACACTCGCAGCTGATCCTTGGATCAGCAGAGTTTACAGCTCTCTTTTACGATGCTTCTCATTAAACGTATGTTAAATTTTAAATTTATCAAGATCAAGTTTTTGTTGTTTGTTTTGTTTATTACTAGAATAGCATACAATTAAAAAAATCTGTTCACATTTAATTTTTATGTTGTTTTTCTTTTTTTATTTGTATGTGTGTGTGTGTGTGTGTAGGTGTGTAGGTGTGTAGTGTGTGTGTGTGTGTGTGTGTGTGTGTATTTATCAACGTTTTTTGCCTGGCCGTACTTGCGAGCGCACGCAAAAAACTCTTAGCATCTTAAACAGTATCACATATTCATGAGTTGTCGACGAGCGACCCTCGCAGCGGCCCAGCAGAGAGGCAGAGCGAGGGTTGGCAAAAACAATTGCCGACTGGCCCTGGCGCTCACTGCTGTGGCTTGCGGATCGCCGTCTTTGAATTTCATGTTTTCATTTTTTTGTTTATTTTATAATATTTTTGTTTTTGCTTTTTTTGTTTGTTGAAAAAGGAGAAACAACTTAAAACTCTAGTTATTTGTTTGCTTTTTGTTTTGTTGCTGCTTTTTATAGCATCTACTACGCATCTAAGTAAAATGGTGGTGAGAGTCACAATTACAAAATTGTATGCAAAGAGTTGCGGGTGAGCGAGCGGCGCAGGCTCAAGAGCAACTCCTTGTTATTAGTATGAGTGTGTGTGTGTGTGTGTGTCGTATACTAATGTGTATGCGTATGTGTGTGTGTGTATGTGTGTGTGTATGTATTTGTGTAGGTGGGGTGGCTTCGAATACTTGCTTCGTCGTCGCGTTGCGCTCGCAACTAACTACTGCTCTCGACATCACAGGGGGTGTTGGGCGGTGTTGGGCGCGTTTCTTTGTCGCACTCGCTGGGCTCGCTTCTATATATATGTGTATATAAATATAACTGCGTCTCCGTCTCTCTCTCTCTCTCTCGCTCTCTCGCTCGGCAATTGCTCGCGCTTAAGCTGTGATTGCACTCGCGCTCTTATATCGTTGGCGTTGCAATCGCCTGGCTGTGGCTTGAGCTTGAGCTGGAGCTTGAGCCAAAGCTGTAGCTGCGCCTGGCACCCAGGCCATCGGCCGAGTAAAGCTTATGCTTAGTTATGGTATACTCTGGGCTGATGGTGATGGTGCGTGCCAGGCTCTTCATGAACTGCGGCAACAGGGCCGTCCAGCCGCGATGATCCTGTCGGAGCGTGAGATACACCTCGAACGTGGAGACCGTCTCCGGATCCACCTTGAGCGAGGCAATGCGCCGCGAGTTCTGTGGCTCATCCTCGAATTCCACGTAAATGGTGCAGCCGCGTGTGCCGCAAGGCTCCTTCTCCGAAACGCGAATTATATCCGCCGCAATGTTCGGCGTGAGATCACAGGGTAGCGACACTTCGGTGCACGCCAAATGGCGCGCCTTCGCCTCGCGCAGCTTGTCCAGCAGACGGTTCGAAAGCTCGCTAACAGCGGCCACATCGACGTCGCTGCAGGCCGCCAGCTCGTCCTCATCGCAGCTGTAGGAGCTGTTGCTGCTGCTGCTGCTGCTGTTGCTGCTGCTGCTGTAAGGGCTGCTGCTGTTGATGGGATGGCTGCTAGATTTTGTTTTCTTGCTGCCGATGCCGCTGCTGCTGCTGCTGCTCGCCTGCTGCTTGTGCTTAATACTGTGTGTGTTCTGGCTGCGGCCGATGATGCTGCTGCTGCTGGCTGCGCTGCTGGCGCTGTTGGCGACGGGGGCGACCTTCTTGGCCGCAACGGCGGACGTGGGCGGTGTCAATGTGCTGGTCCAATCTAAAAGTAGCGCAAACAAGAAACAAAACAAAACTTTGATAAGTACAAGAAACCAATAAAACAAAACGCAAAGACCAAAAGAAACTACAGAAACTACAACAACAACATTGGGCAATGGGCGACTTAGTGTGCGATAAAACGGCGTTAAGTTGATTTTGCTGGAGCTTTTAGCTTTGGCTTTTCTGGCCGTTCAATGTTCATTCACACACATATGTACGCACGCACGCACACACACAGAAATGCAGCGAACGCCGCTTGGCAACAAGCAGCGAACGAGATAAAAGCGGCAGCAAGCAGAGGGCACTGAGTGTGCGAGAGAGAGCGAGAGCGAGAGAGAGAGCAACAAGCAACACACAAAACAACAAAAAACAAAAAAAGAAACGAAAAATCATTTTTACACAATTTTTTGTCCATTTTATTTGCTTTTCTTTGTTTTTGTTTCATAAAAAAAAAATCTTTTTTTGTTGCCTTTAATTTTTTTTTTTTGTTGCTTTTTGTAATACAAAATGTTGCGTACGTGACTGTGTAGCAGATGTTGTCGCTGTTGCGGCTGTTGTTGTTGCCCTTTTTATTTGCATGTGTAAATTGATTTTTTATGCATTTTTTTTAAATATTTACAATAAAAAAATCTGATGAAATGTGCAAAGTAATTGCAATGCTTAAAACTTGAATGTTTCGCAAAGGAAATATTTTAATTTTTCACTTTGAATTCAATTGTAAAATGTTAAAGAAAACATTTTGTTTTAAATTGAAAAACAAAAAAAAATATGAGTTTTATTTGAAAAATTTGCATTTAGTTGAGAATTTATTTTGATTTGCCAAAGAGTTCAAGTGATCGATCGCTTGTATTTTGAAAACAATTCGAAACTGTTTTCGGGAAGATTCTAGAATGTTTTTGGGCTAAAATCTTTTTGCAGAACTTACCGCGAACTTTGTTGGATCCCAGGACGCCGCCGTAGTTTGACTGCACAGCGAGAACTTCCATTTTCATTAGAACTCTTGATTTTCTTCGGTGCTCGATGCTTTTCTAGTTAGTTGGTTTCGGGAAAATGTTCTGTTGTCGATTTTCTCGCTTCTTGAATTTATTTCGCTTCTCTTTGTATCACTTGAAACGTTTTAACAAATTAATTAATAGTTTTTGCTTGTTGTTATTTATTATTTATGATTTATCACAATTTGCTGGTTGTTTATTAAAATTGATGCTGCTGATTGAGTTGAAATTAACTTGATTTGTTGTTGTTGTTGTTGTTGTTTTGTAGTTGGAAATCACAGCACTTTTGTTGTTGTTGGTTGTTGTTTGTTGTTTGTTTGTAGTTTATCACTTAAATGGCGTTGGTCCGTTGCATTTGTTTGATGGCAATTATAAGATTTAATAATTTTCATAAAATTATTGAAAATTTCTTGTTGGGTTTTTTCTTTTTACAGTTACAAGTACTACAAGTACATTTTAGATGTGTTCTTCCTTTTACATAGAATTCTTCGTGAAACAAAATTTTGCTGTGTATTTAATAATGTCCAACAGTAGAAAATTTGAAATACACGCTTTTTGTTTTTTGTTTAGCTGCTTTCTTTTCTTGCTGCTTTGCCGTTTCTTACTTTTCTATGTGTTTATCTCAGCAGTGTTTCGAAGCTACTATGAAGCGCAACGCTCTGCACCGGCTATTTATAGGCCGGCTGGCCTGCGTCCGTTTCGCTCATTTGCTCTGCCGTCTCTGTCGTCGTCGTCGTCGGTGGTGGTGGTTGCTGCTGCCGCGACTCGTTTGAGTGAGGCACACAAGCAACAACAATGCTGTGTATGTGTTTGCTGAGCAATTAGCGGTTGTGCTCTCCGCAAAGAGACCGCTACAAGCGCGTATATACTCAATATGTGCTAATGTGAGTCTCTCTGTGTGTGTGTGTGTGTGTGTGTGTGTGTGTGCGTGCGTGTATGTGGGTGCTGTAATTGTAGTTGTTGCTATTGCTGTGCGAGTACAGGTAGAAAGACACTGGCAGAAGAGTGCAAAACGGCTGATGTAAGTTGGCTGACTGTTACAGCGCGCTGTCGCCGTGCTCTCCCTCACACTCTCTCTCTCTCTCATCACTTCGACACTCATCAGCTGTTTCACTCAACACTCGCCCGACTCGCTCATGCGCACCTACAACCGGCCCCGGCATTGTCGCCGTTTCTGTCTGTTTCTCCTGAAACTGTCGCTCAGTCGAATGCGTGCACATACGTATGTATGTATGTATCTCCCTCTACATATCGTTGTGTGTGTGTGTGCGCGCTTGCATGCATACGTGACTTTTGTGCCGGTTGAGCATGTTTCGCTGCTGCCGGCGCAGGCAGCGCGAACGTCAGGCAGGCAGGCAGGCCAAAAAGGATGATGGAAATGTTCTCTCTCCTGGCGAATGAAGGAGGCACACACAAACACACACACACACGCATAGAAATTTTCGTAGCTGCCGCGCCTGCCACTTCACACCCGCCCGTTGTGAGGCCGTTTCGTTCCACATTAGTGCTCTGCCCGCAGTCGCTGCGCTGCTGCTGCTGCTGTTGCTGCTGCTGCTGCTGCTGCTGTTGTTGCCCCCGGAGAACGCACCATGTCAAAATTGAAATTTTCCACTGCAGTTTGCAACAACTTCAAAAATCGAAGCCCAGTGGCCAAGTGGGCTGGCAACGGATTGCGGACTCAACGTTCACAATGTCTACCTAATGGCATATCAAGTTGCAAGTTGCAAGTTGCAAGTAGCAAGTTGCTGGCAGCTAGCTGCTAGTCGCAACTAGCCGGTTGCTAGTGGTGCCATGTGGCAAGCGGCAAGCGGCAAACTCGAGCGCTGTTGCCATGCTGCCTAATTTCACAACAATTACCCCAGAGATCTGGCAAAGATACAGAGTTTCGAGAAGTATCTGAACAGCAAAACGTGCAACAACTAGCTGCAAACTCTGCTGCAACTTCAACTGTTAACCTTACTTTTCTGTATCTTTAATATCTATGCTTATCAAGGCTGCCAAACAGGTTTGAACCGCATCGATTTGAGCCCTGTTTATAGTTTTCTAACTATGAACCGAACCTTAAACCAACTTTTGGCCGAGATAGGAAAATGGGCATTCGATTTTAAATGGAATTATTTCAATAGGATTTTGGGTATATCTGAGAAAGCAAAATGCAAGCGAAGCAGCATGAAGATGGGGAGTCGAACCAGCGATCTCTTTTTCAGCACAGCTGTTTGCCGGGTGAAGAGCAGGCATAGAGTGGATTCTGGTCTGTTCGCGCTGCTCTCTTCGTCGCTTAACGCTTGCAATTCTCAACAAGTTGAAGCTGCGAAAGGAGGACAAGTCGCTCGCAAGACCAGAGCAAGCTCTGCTGAGCATAGAACCGACAACTTCTCGAAGTTTCCGTATATTCTAACCTGTTGTTGGCCATTTCATTATATGCAATAGATAACTTTTGTCATACAAAATCAATTGTCGCCAGGAAGATAACGTTTCTTGCATTTATTACTAGTCCGCACAGCCTGATGTTCATTTATGTACAGACACATATATATGTTTTTTTTTTTGTATTTCTCAGTTACGAATTTCATCAGCATTTGAAAGAATCTTTTTCTCTCTGTCTATGATTATTTTTCTTTTATTTTCTGCTCTTTTTTTTGTTGTGTTTGGTCGAGAATAATTTGATATTCATATCAGGATTTCATGCTGTTGTGTCCTTTCATTTCAATTGAATGCATCTCGTAGATTATGAAATGGCCTTCTTCTTCTTCTTCTTGTCGCTGTTGTTGTTGTTGTTGCACGCAGATTGAAAACGACAGATTGAAAGATTGAAATGTATCTGAACCTGTTTCATTGTGGGTGTGTGTGCGTGTGTGTGTGTGTGTGTGTGTGTGTGTGTGTCACTAGAATTTTCGTATCCAATCGAAATGAAATTCTGTGAAGTGTGTGTATCTTATGCTGCTGTCAGATACATTAGCTTTTGTGTAGATATTTCAACCAGATAATAAACCAAATGTCCCTCTGCCTGTGCATCTATCTGTCTGTCTGTCTGCCTGTCTGTCTGTCTGTCTGTCTATTTTATTTGTTGTGGCTTCAGATTGAAGAGAAGATTTAGCTCCTGCATGGGGTTATATAAAAATCAAAGTGCATTTACCAGCTAAAGATACATTTTTTTTAAAGAAATTCTTGTGCAATTTACATTGTGCCCTTTAAAACAGAGCAGCCGCATTTTCCAATTTTCCTACACACACGAGCATAAATTTTCATATGGGCGAAATGAGCAGAAAAACGTGCGCGGCAAAGAAAAGCACCGGCAATTTAACAAGAATCAAGTTGAGTTTTCTTTTTCTATATTTTTTATTTATATTTTATGTGCTAAGGTGAAATTGTTGCCAGCCAATGAAAAGGCAAATTTTCTCGGAAATGATCTATGCAGATCTCTAAAATGTAGCACGTCTACATTTCACGGAAATCTATAATGATGCTAAGTAAACATAAAACCGGACTATTTTTATAGATACTCTGTCTCAAATCTGTTTCAGATATAAAAGATACTTTTGTATCTGATAGATTATATGTACATATGTATGTATGTAATATCGGCCAGCGATAAGCGAATCACAATTGAAGGCAATTGATTCATAATTTGCAGATAATAAAATGCTGACGTGCCCACTCACACACAGATACACACAAACACGCAGCGAAGACGAGAAAGAGCTGGGAAAATGCGAAAACAATTTTATTTCACACTCAAAAACGATACGCCTGGCGCCATCTATCGGCCAAACTTTTGCGCAGCGCACAGCGAAGAGCGTGTGAGCAGAGCAACAACCACAACAACTACAACAACAACAAAAAGAACATTGCACAAAGGCAATTTTAAATGTGCAATCAATTAATTAAGTGCTTAAAATTAAATTAATTATATTGTGCAAGTATTTTACATATGAAATGAACAGTGAAAAAGTATCTGAAAGATGCACAATTGATTTATGCTCAATAAGCCAAACGCTTGAAAAGTTTCTTTTACACAATTTTGCGTAAAGTTTTGTGATATTAAAAGTTGTTGTCGCCATTAGCATAAATGCGTGTGTGTGTGTGAGTGTGAGTGTGAGGATACTGAAAACAATTGAGAGTTCTTTTTTTAATTTTGTATCTCTGATTGTACAATTTTTGATTCAAAGAATTGAGATACATTTTTTGAGTTTCTATTTCTCTTATGTGTGCACAGCACACTCAATTTAAATAACCACTTTGAGTGACTCGCGAGCGCACACAACACTCAAGAGCAACCATCAGTCTGTGCTGCTCTTAAGTTTGCTCTTTGAGCGCATAGCTCGCAGAGCTCACAGCTGACGGCAGACCGAGCGTGCCGCTGAGCTGCGTGCACACAGCGCACAGCTGATGCGACTCAACTCTTGAGCCCTTGCTCTCTGTCACGAAAACAACAACAACAGCATGAGCAACATTTGACTTTGCAGCTGTTTCGCTCATCATCTGTTTTTCTGGCGCACAGCAGGTTCCCGCATGTCCCACTCGCACGCACACATACACAGAGTTATTGCTGTATATAAATAGGTACATACATATATTGTATGTGCATGTATGTATGTATGAGTATATGCACATTCGCATACATAGGCAATGCTGTATACAAAGTCAGTCGTGGCCGTTCAACGTTTTTATGGGCGCTGCAGCTCTGCCGGCGTCGCTGCTGCCGCTGCTCCAAACACTTCTCATCGGCAGTCAGTATCTTGATTTTCCAACTCGTTTCTCGCAGTCAACGCGCCCCCAAATCACACACACGCACGCAAGTAATATACATATATTTGGTTATATATGTATGAATGTGTGCGCTGTACGTGTGTGTGTGTAATTTGCCTAAGGTTTTGTTGCTGCCGCTGCGGCTGCGGTTGTTGTTGCTGTTTTCCTATTGCCTGCGCTTTGTTGCCGTTTTTCACTCACATTGTGAGCTGAGCCGCCTGCAAACGAGTTGTACAACGGCAACGTCGCGCTCATCTGTTTTTCCACACATGTATAGACACACACATGCATATCTGTGAATATTGCGTGTGTGTGTTGCGGCTGTTGTTGTTTTTGTTGCTGCTGCTGCTGCTGTTGTTGATGTTTGCTTGTTTTCTTTTTAGCTCGCTTATTTATTTATTTATTTTTTATGTCTTCGCTGGCAGAGCAAGAGAGCCGAAGCCGCGGCCGCGGCCGAGGTAGACCCGGCCGGTCGCTGTTGCCGCTGCAGTCGAAGCCATTGCAAAGCTTTTGAGCTCGTCTTGTAGTTGTTATTGTTGTTTCTGTTGCTGCTGTTTCTTTTCTTTGTTTTGCTTATGGGCAATCATCTGTTTTATTTTGCACACACACACACACACACACAGATAGGCGCGCAGAGAGACCAGCAGGCTTGTGTGTGTGTGTGTGTGTATCTCACAGATACAAAGTCATTTCAGTGTATCTTTTGCTTGTGTTGCATTTGCCGTCAGCTTTTTTTTCCATCAATAGTTCATTTTCTGCTTGGCAACGGGTTTTTTCTTTTACTTTTTTCAGTGCTTTTTTTTGGTTTTTTTTTTTCGGGCTACGTAGTTTCATGAAATTGGAGAAAACTTAGCAATGATGAAATTACTGGACATACGTGAGCACCAGGCA